ACTACCTATGGCCCAACCGAGGAAACGACGTACGCACCGACGGAGGAGACCACGTACGGACCCACCGAAGAGACGACGTACGCACCGACGGAGGATACTGCTTATACCCCTACAGTTTACCCTACGTACGCACCGGCTGTGGAAACCACATATGCACCAACTGAGATCACACCTTACGGTCCTACCGAAGGACCAACCTATAGACCGACTGGGGAAACCGCGTACACACCAACCGTTAGGCCTACTTCAGCACCTTCGACACCATGTGACTACCTGGGAAAAAGTGGTATTGAAGATGAGAACAAGGTGCGCTACACAAATGGGATTTACCGGACGAATCGTGGTGCCCGTGGTTCTCAGTCCTGGCATTCATGTTGCCGTGCGTGCCACAGCGACCTCAAATGCCACGCCTTCAATTTCCAGATAACACCTTCAAACTCAGTTTGCGAGTTGACGACGTCGACTTCGGGCAGGGTGGAGCGACAACAGAACTGGCAGGCGGGTCGCATGGACCGCTACTAAATGAAGCGACAAGAGCGCACCGTGACGTACTGCACCAAAATTTTACACGCTGCTTCTACAAAACTCGATGTGAGCATTCAATGATCAGTTGCCGCAGTTGGCAACCCAATAGAATGCATTTAAGTCTTTACATGCTCCTGCTTCTTTCCGCTGTCGTTATTGCTATTGATATTGTTGGTGTTGTTATCGGTACTCTGGGACAGCAATTTACCAAGTCTTTTTTAATGAGCTTTCGGGCGGCCTCTATGAAACTACCAGTAAATTTCAGATTTTTGGAGTACTATAATCCTAAAGTATTCTGTATGCGCTTACGTACATGTAGTACTACTTCGTCAATATTAATATATTTTAGTGCTACAATAATCCAGGTGTTAATCTATGTGTTACAGATGGCCAGTTATTTGGGGGATACGGAAAATGTATTCGGTATGCGAACACAGTGTCTCATCGTTTCGGTCGCCAGACCGCACTCTAAACTTCTCATAGCTCAGTAAGTATATACCTTCTCGGGTTTGGTGATATCAAACGTGAATATCTGTGAATTGAAATGTAAATGATTTTAACCGTGAATATCAACGTTATTAGCCGTGAATTTAATAATAAAAAACTATCAGTAACCCAAAAATCGCCGGTACTGCCCATCCTTGGTTTTTAATTCAAAGATTCTTGATTTTTACCCAACAATTACGCTTTGGTTAATTTGCTTTGCCTGGTTGGGTCGTTTATCTTTATTACCATTTGCCAACAATGTCAAGTTGGGGCAAATAAACTTCCTTCTTTGTCATATGATAGGCGTGGCGCGGCGGCTTGAAGCGAATGTTAGAATGACCCAAGCTGTCGAGGGTTCTGCCCTCTCCTATTCAATCTAACTATAGTAACACTTCGACATCGGGAAACTACGCCTTCGTCTGCAACTGCTCCAGCTTGCGACTGTCTCCGTTGCCTCCGCAACCTTCAATTTATGGGCGTCTACCATTCAGATCAGTAGCAATCGCGCAGTAAACGTATTAAAAACACAATCGATTCTGTACAGCGTTCTCATGCGAAAGCTCATGTGATCGAAGCACCATTTGTAGAGCAGCGAAGGGGGTGGTAAAACAGCCACGCTAGCTTTAGAGTCGCCTTGAAGTTTTGGTCGTTGAAAGAAACCTCGACTCACCAAAATCTGCCGAATTGAGAGCCGAGCGCGCTTCGCCTGTAAGTTGGTTCCACGTGATGAGGTCGTCTTGATACGAAAGCATAACCCAAACCAGTCATACGTGTCCACAATTTCATACGAACCTCTTATGGAAGTGTTCGAACTGCCAACAAAGGCGTAGCTCCAGTGCCAAGGACCGATCATGTCTCTCTTTACTCTCTCGGCATGCAGAAACCATACCATCTTCGCCGCTTCAGGGACTGTTGCAACAAAGAGACGCCAAGTATATTCGGCGTCTCCAACGCTGGATTGTCAAACCACACCGTCATTCTCACCTAGGAGTAGCGGCTCCGTGCGCCATTACCAAAAGAAGCCTTTCGGAAAGTACCGCGCGAACAGCATGGCCCACGGATCTTGGTACCACGTAGTTCGGTCATACGTCAGAGACCCCAAAGCGCCCGTTCCTTTTGTTCCCAGGTCACCAGTTATCTCACCAGCAGCATTTATAGTAAAAGGGAATGCAACCTGCGTCAATGTAAAGCTGGGGTTTGTACTTGATTGCAGACTTTTGGATATTGTGGCAGTTGGGCTGAGCCAGTCGCTGCACTTGATCGTGATTAATCGTGCCTCTATGCCCGGCGAAGAACAGAACAGAGAATTGGATCAGGATAATAAGGAAGTTTATCGCCTCGAAAGCGAGGGGGGGGGTCCGTTGAGGTTGCTGATAAACGGTAAAGCGTGGTGAGAGCTCTGTTGATATCTTCCACTGTAATCCGAGAAAAACGCTATCACATCACAATAGTTGTCTTTTATCCGTAATCCGAAAAGCGTGATCACATTTACGACAACAATATGAACCTCTTCCCCTGTAATCCAAGAAAATGTTATAAAAAAAACGATAAGAAATTTGTAATATCTATCGTCAAGACCAGGACTCAGTACGCGTTTAAAGCGTTGCTTAGTATGTCTTTTCTACCTTCCGAACCCATATTTCCGTTTGATACACTAATAGTAGATTATCTGTGTCTGTGCGTTGGTTGTGTTTCAACTGCCCAAAATCAATACTTAGGTCATAGGTCGTTCTCCTCAGTCACGGAAATCAAGCATCACCTCACTCACGTGGACTCAATCCTATGCACTTTTTGTTGTTGTGCACCAGCAAATGGGGAGATGATAATGCTGCCTCCGCTCTCGTTCGTAGTCCCTGCTGGGGGTCGTGATGGACCCCCCCCCCCTTGGGTTAATGCCCAACAATGTTCCCGTCCCGATGGTTGGTGAATAAGCTATGATTGTTGACTTACAAGCAAAAATCGGAACACCACGAACGTCCGCAGCAAATAGCGTGAGTCTGAAAGCTCCAACAAAATGGTTGAGGATCGCAAATGGACATAGCCTAATTCAATTTGAAGGTTGAAGGATAGAATTGCAGACTCGAACGATTTACAAGTCCCCCAGGCTGAGCGTCGATCGCGTACACTGTTTTATTATAGAAAACCGTAGCGACCTCATGCTGGTGAAACAGTAGAGAAGTTTGGAGGAATGAGCTCAACCTTATTTATTATGGAATCTATTACACTGCACTGAATAACTCAGCTAATAGAAAACGTAAAAATCAAATAGAAGGCCACTTTTCCGCTGAGCAACTCGGCTCTCTCCAGTAACAGCTTTCCTGTAAATGGCGCAAACTGAGCATATCGAGAACTGAACTAGTTTGTGGACCCATATATGCGCCCAGTCGCCGCTCGTTCGAATCTTCTACGGTTTGTGGATTACTGTAACCGATACTGTTAGTACATGCGTTGTGCATAACTTAAATGTCAATTCGCCAGGCTCCTTCCGGACCGATAAAACTTGAATCCATCCCGTTCACTGAATATGTAACGCACTGTAACAAGAAGAGTAGAAGGGTATCTCTCGTGGCACAAATGCACTAACTCTGTATCGATTAACAAACAGCAAATTACCGTTCAAAATCCAGGACAGAGCTATCGCTCGCCATTTCTCGGGGGAGAGGAAGAGTGATCATTTCCGTGCATCGCCTTCAATGCATGTCGCCATCCGACGCTAGACGTCTGGAGGCTGAAACACCAGAAAGACACTGTATCCACCACAGTTCTCGTTTGTGGCGCAAGCTGCCAGTGAAAGTACAGGTGGTTTTTCGGCGGTTTCTTGCTCTTGGACATATCTTGCATAAATGAGTAGAATTTAAGCAGACGCGAGAGTAATTTGCCACTTTCTACAGAAACACTACTGAGATACAATAAATAATAACCGACAGGCTCGAGTAGTGACGCCCCACCATTCTGCCATGCGTGCAACCGATTTGAGAAAGCCTCGCTGGATACAGAAAAACCATCACCAGACACAGTTTGAGTCCGTTCCATGGATTTCGTTTCGCCAGCGTATCGAGCCTAACTGACTTTATTCCTAAGCGTCCCCTGCTTCTCTTTACTCGTGTCTTTGGTGGCTCGCCAGCTCGAAGGCTCATTCCCCAATTTCTTCATTGGCGGCAACATCGACCTCAGCCTCTCCTGTGAGTAGATTTACCTATGACGTCGAGGAAACCCGTGGCTTTAGCCACTATGCTGGCGGTTGGCCTCGCATCCGCAGACGTCCCGATCGGTGTACAACACGACGCCACCTACTCGTTACCGGAGTCCCGCGGCTTACCCTGCTCTGGTATCGGAGCTCAACCTGTCGGTACCGCCTGCCCCATTGCCGGCGATGTCGCTACTTCTGACTGCCAACCGTATCTGCTTTCCTACAATGGTGCAGTGTGTGTTGCTCCAGTCGATGCCCAGTGCGCCCTCGTCCGCGACGACGTCTGGGGCTGTGCATTCCCAAAGACGGGCTACAGTTCTGCTGCCGAGGCGGAGACCATCGCGGCGTACGGCGGTTCAGGGTCACGCTGGGGATCTGGATATCAAGACGACGTCCAAGTCGGAGATGAAGAGGAGACTGGTGTCGGTTATGGCAAGATGAAGGGCGACGACTCTTATGTCTCGACCGGCACTACTTCTACGACTAGTGGCGGCCGTACAAACGTAGAAACTATATCCACCGAAACGAATATCGATGACGATGGGAAGACGACCAACACCGATGGCGATAAATCTACCGATCAGTACAGTTCAACAACGACGGTCTCTGCAGAAGGTGGCGTGGCTTCGGGTGTCTACGATACAAGTGACCCAGCGACGACAGGCGGCAATACAAACGCTGACGACTTAACGGGCCCCAGCGAGACCGCTGAGGGTAGCACTCCCACTAGCACGACAACTGGGGGAACTACTAGGGGAGGAGGGTACACCCCTGGTACTACAGCTGCGGGCAATACTGCAAGTGGCTACGACTCTACCAGCAACATGGAGGGTGATATTGCTACTGGTGACTACATCACTGTCACTGAGAGAGCTAAACGTGTCTACGTGGGCGGTACTAAATCTGGGGGCTACAACACAGACAGCACTACTACCGAAACCGGTGAGGACAGAGCTCACTACCGTTCTACCGGTACAAGGACAGCAGAAGATGCGACGCATACAAACCGTCAGTCAAAAAACGGCTACATGACAGGGGGTGGCCATGGCTCTATTGAAACGACCACGGAGGGTAGAGCGACGACTCGAGTCTCCGCGAGTGAGAGTGGCTACAGCTCTGTCAGCACTATCACTGAAGGGTACATCGCTGGGGCCACGCCTGAGGACGTTAAGAACAACGGGGGATACACTTCCGGCTCGACTGAAACGACGGGAAGAGGCACATCCTACGTTCACGGCAGAGCGCGTGATGAAGATTGCGGATCGGACGAGTCATCCCCTGTAGCGGAAGGCGACAAGACGGCAAACTACCAGATTGGTACAAGTGAGGAGACGGAAGTCCAGCAGACCACGGAGAGTCCCTCCGATGAGCGTGAGGAAGAGGGTACACCCGGCACACTTGGGCCTGAATCCGATGAGCCTTGCACCGAGACTGAAACACCTACAGAGTTGGTCACCTATGCACCGGCAGAGGAGACCACGGGTGCTCCTACTGAAAAGCCTGAAACTCAAAAGCCCTGTGCCACAGATGAGCCTGAAGCAGGAACAGCCCCACCACCAACCGATCAGGTCACCACAGAGCCTACAACAGAAGAACCTACGGTAGAAGTCACGTCGGAGCCCGAAACCAACG